AAACCGGTGCTGTATTACAGCTTTCGCTATGATACCAGTTCATGGAAATTGGATAATACTTATAACTAATTACAGTGATTTACTTAAATATCTAAATCCAAATAGACGAAAAAAATATATTTTATCCACTCACGATTCCAATATTCAGTATACAAATCACTTTCACTTAGTTTTATACTTAATTACTTTTAAACTGACTTCAATAATTGATAAAAAAAGGTTAAAAATATTAAAAATTGTAATTAAATTAGTAATAAAAGGGGAAGAAAATTTATTGCGACAATTAACAATATCACTCCAAATATTCTGTCACCTTCTGTTTTCAAAGGACTGGCAGACGATTAGGTACATGCAAAGTGTTTTCTATGCTATTGTTTTTCCTCAAATATTTGTGAAAGTTTATAAACACAAAACAAATAGGTAATTTTACATATGTAGTTAACTCTGATCCAAACTAAAAAGGTAAATAAGCGTACCTATTAATGCTTCAGTTAGTCTAATAAAATAAACGGTGGACTAAAAGCCAAAAGCAAACAATAATATATATTCAACAATGCTGTTATTAAAGGAAGATCTTAAATATTATTAGAGATAGAATTAAATCAAAGGAAGGTTGTACAAATTGAAATAATTTCGTTAGTGTATACAATCTAATTTTACTATGTTGATTTTAATGTTGGTAGTATTTGCTAATTGGGCTGCTAAATATTGACCTAATCCAATCAGCGTGCAACATTTCCTTCGATGTTTTCGTTTATTTTCAGTTCATATTGTGCGGTTAGTTGCTGCTGATGCCAAAATTTTGTTTTAAATTACAGGATCTGCTTGTAGAAATTTAAAAAATAAAAATAGGTGAGTATTTTTAAGTTTACTATTAAGACGCTACTTTTATTTTGTCCTTCCTAATACATATTTATTTATTTAGACTAAAAGTTTTAAAAAACATTTTGAAAAGCGAAATTACAATTGAAAATATTATTGTATAATTTATAATTTGTTTCTAGCAAGTATTTTTATCCCGCTTTTAGGCCTGACTTCTTTTTTTTATATAATATAAGATTTTATTCTTAGTGCCGGTAAAGGGACCTTACATTAAGGCCACAAAAAATATTGAAAAAGATACTTCCCCTTCATGGCGCAGATATTCACCCTGCACGAAAGAGTGGCGTTTAGGCTCAAAATGTGTTTGTGCACTCTCGTGACTTCTGGGTATTTATTAGGTTAGTGGTTTTAATTAAATAATAAAAATGCATAAATAGATGCAAACTATATTAATTTTAAGAGTTTTAAAAAAAGTAGATAATGAAACATTTCTATTAAGAAACAATTTTTGCCGTACATTTGAGTGCCTCAGAACCAGAGGTGACTATACAACAAATTCACTCTTTTGAGATAATTGAGGGTAAAGTTAATCAGTTATATATATTTCTAAATAAAGTAACATAACTACAGTTTGGGGTTTTTGTATAGGAGAAACTAAAAAAATTCAGGTAGAATATAGCAAAAAAAAGTTGTTTCTTTAGTAACAATAAAACACTGAAAACTTTGTTTTCAAACTTCCCCAAAATTTATTTTAATTATTATCACTACAGCTGTTTCGGCTGATAGCCTTTCTCAAGTGATCTATTTTTGGCATGCGTTTACAATTTATAGACTCTAATGAAATAGGTTGAGGAGGGGAGAACTGTTTGTCTCAAGTTGGTCATTCAGAATTATATCTGTGTTTTTTAATTAATTGATTTCCATAGATTCTAACAGAGATAGCTTAAGGCCTTTATTTTGAACGTGAAGAATTTTAAATTTGTCATTGAAAGAATGATTATGATCTAGAAGGTGAAGTGCGTATGTCGAATCTGTTTTTCTATTCTTGAAAGCCCTTTTATGTTCTGCTATTCGTTTCTCAAAGTTTCTACCAGTTTGACCGATGTAAGTTTTTGGGAAGTCGCCACATTGAATTTTATACACACCACTATTTAAGTGTTTTTTATTTTGGCTCTTGTTATTTTTAATATATTTACCTAGGTTGTTATTTGTTCGAAAAACTGGTGTTATTCCTTTCTTTTTTATATGTTTGGCAATTTTTGTTGTTATTTTGCCTGTATATGTAATCGAGCAGAAGGTACTGGGTTTTTTTCTCTGGTGGTGGAAATACTATTTTCAGGGCTTTCTTGTGTAGTTTTTGATTTAACATTTTATTAATTGTTTGTTCGTTGTATCCGTTGTTTACTGCTATTTGCTTAATTATATTTAATTCTGTCTCAAAGTTGTCTTTTGACATCGGAATTTCTGTTAATCTATGTAACATACTATGATAAGCTGCCAGTTTATGTTGTGTTGGATGAGATGATGAATTGTGTATAGTCGTGTCAGTATGGGTAGGTTTGTGAAATATAGAGAAGTCATGTTTGTTTTGAAGTCTGCTAATTTTTAAATCTAAAAAATTTATGCATTGATTTTGTTCTGGTTCTATTGTAAATACAATATGACTATGAAGTAAATTAATATACGATGAAAATTGGTCGAGTTGCCTGTTAGTTCCTGTGAAACATACTAGTACGTCGTCTACGTATCTCCACCAATATAAAAACTGTTTGAATACGGGATGTTTTGAAATTTTTGTCTCTAGATGATCCATAAAAATATCTGATAACAATGGGCTTAGAGGATTACCCATTATAAGTCCTGCACTGTTATTTGTATATATTATATATATAAATATAATATATATATATATATATATAATATATATATATAGATATTATATATATAATAATATATATATATATATATATATATTATATTATATATTATAATATATATATATATATATATAATATATATATATATATATACACAAATAACAGTGCAGGACTTATAATGGGTAATCCTCTAAGCCCATTGCTATCAGATATTTTTATGGATCATCTAGAGACAAAAATTTCAAAACATCCCGTATTCAAACAGTTTTTATATTGGTGGAGATACGTAGACGACGTACTGGTATGTTTCACAGGAACTAACAGGCAACTCGACCAATTTTCATCGTATATTAATTCACTTCATAGTCATATTGAATTTACAATAGAACCAGAACAAAATTAATGCATAAATTTTTTAGATTTAAAAATTAGCAGACTTCAAAACAAACATGACTTCTCTATATTTCACAAACCTACCCATACTGACACGACTATACACAATTCATCATCTCATCCAACACAACATAAACTGGCAGCTTATCATAGTATGTTACATAGATTAACAGAAATTCCGATGTCAAAAGACAACTTTGAGACAGAATTAAATATAATTAAGCAAATAGCAGTAAACAACGGATACAACGAACAAACAATTAATAAAATGTTAAATCAAAAACTACACAAGAAAGCCCTGAAAATAGTATTTCCACCACCAGAGAAAAAACCCAGTACCTTCTGCTCGATTACATATACAGGTAAAATAACAACAAAAATTGCCAAACATATAAAAAAGAAAGGAATAACACCAGTTTTTGGAACAAATAACAACCTAGGTAAATATATTAAAAATAACAAGAGCCAAAATAAAAAACACTTAAATAGTGGTGTGTATAAAATTCAATGTGGCGACTGCCCAAAAACTTACATCGGTCAAACTGGTAGAAACTTTGAGAAACGAATAGCAGAACATAAAAGGGCTTTCAAGAATAGAAAAACAGATTCGACATACGCACTTCACCTTCTAGATCATAATCATTCTTTTAATGACAAATTTAAAATTCTTCACGTTCAAAATAAAGGCCTTAAGCTATCTTTGTTAGAATCTATGGAAATCAATTAATTAAAAAACACAGATATAATTCTGAATGACCAACTTGAGACAAACAGTTCTCCCCTCCTCAACCTATTTCATTAGAGTCTATAAATTGTAAACGCATGCCAAAAATAGATCACTTGAGAAAGGCTCTCAGCCGAAACAGCTGTAGTGATAATAATTAAAATAAATTTTGTGGAAGTTTGAAAACAAAGTTTTCAGTGTTTTATTGTTACATAAAATGAATTTCCATCAAGTAACGGTCGAATCCATCAATTGTTTCTTTAGCTTTATTTTTAAAGAAAAAAGGAAAAAATGTGATATAGGCGTTTTTCGCACTAACAAAACTGAAAAATATTTTGAACCGAAAAAAAAGTATTACTCCGTCTTTTTCTCTTCCCCTTGAATCTGTGCTAGACCTGTATCCATCTCATTGATACACTTGGGAGTTTTAAAATAGTCTTGGTGGATAGGAGTACTTTAACAATGATATTAGATCTTTATTTTTCTGTACTGTTATCCCTATTCTTTCAGTAAATAATAAATCTAGCTTCATGTATGGATTTGTTGAAGGACAGCCACATATATTTTTCGTAAATTCTGGTTTTTCTCCTATAATTGCTGTATTTCTATTTACAATGTCGTGCTCCAATTTTTTGGTAATGAAAAAATAATTTTTTTCCATTTTATGAGTACAAAATTTAGGCTCTTTTTTCTTTGAGATATTTATTACGTTTATCCAGTCGTCTAGCACAAATATATTTTCGTGATATTTTTTCTCCTTGACAATGACACCAAAAGTTGACAAACTGCGTCCGGACACAAAGATTTAAGATTTATTTTCTTTGCATTGCTTCTTTGCATTTCATTAAAAAGACCTAAAATGACTTTTATATTCCTATTCTGCCAACCAGAACTATCAGAATATTAATTTAGGATGGATGTTGTTTCGAGCAAAAAAGAAATATCATGATCAAACATGACACAATCTCTTGAGCACGACGCGAAGCAACACTTCGTTCCATACAAACATATGCCCAATGTTTTCAACTTCATTATGTACAGGGTTTCTCGTTATATTTTGACCCCACCCTAAAAATATTAAAATATTTGTTCTTAACGATATTCACTTACTTTATCCGAGAAACTAAGATGGAAAATTCTATAGCAACTTCCTGGTTTGCATACTTTTGGACGAACAGTCTTACCTATATCTAAAACATGTTGTTCCCCCTTCATAACTTTTTGCTTTCTTACGAACTTTTTAAACAACTTAGGATTTGACTTCCGTTTTCGAGTGTTGGACGGCGGTTCAGATGTCACATGGTCGTTGTCAATATCTGAAATTAAATAAAATAAAAAATGGTATACAAAAATTAACTTTAATAATTAAATTAAAGCCTATCGTGAATCATCTAATTTCTTCAAAAAATTCATGATAATGTAGAGCCAAAATAGTCTATACAACAATATATTATAATACAGTTTTTTAAAGAAATATTATTAAAAAATCCACAAGTAATCTACGTTCCTGTAGTTAGCTGTATACCATATATTAAAAAATTTATTAAAAATCCTTTGTAAAAGGTATATATTAAGAACCCAAACGGACTAAGTTAAACATACAAAACGTTTTCGGAATCCATATTCCATCATCAGGGTCATTGATGTACATTCATGTACTCTTAGACACTGATTATGGAATATGGATTACGAAAACGTTTTGTATGTTTAACTTAGCCAGTTTGGGTTCTTAATATATTGGGACAGTGCAAGTTCATAACAGCGACACCTGGTGTCATAAATCAGCAAAATTTACTGCGCTCTCATGTTAGATCGAGGTTACCGGATAACTGTCAAGGACGTAGCCCCAAAAAAGAATAAGAAGAAAAGGTAAGATTGAGGTTATGTCGGTATGTTATTAAAAGGTAAACGTTGTATGTAGTGTAAATAAAAATAAATATATTATTAAATTACAGCATTACTGTTAATATGGATGCAATAATAAAACTGGATTTGAGAAAGTAAATAACCAAATAACTTTTCAACCAAGCACTGAGTCAAATGGAAAAGCTTTAGTAGTGGCAAATATCAAAAAAGAATGGAAGAATTATGTGGAAGAATTAAGAAAAATAAATTACCATAAATAATGCTAATGCATAAATTAGCAGGTTAAGCCCATGATATCATCATATTGGTTTGAACAATTAATTCTTCCCTGTAAACTTTTGGACAGCGAATATATCTTAACGCATCTCCAGAAAAACTTGAACTTGATGTATGAAATCGTAGGCTTCCACGGCCAGAGTCAGAATTATAGTTTATTCGTCTTCCGGGTTTGGACCGTGTCATTTGTGAGTGACCCAAAAGTGGGTTCATCTCAAGATGTTCTCTCAGATGAACTCACTTTTGGGTCACTCACAAATGACACGGTCCAAACCCGAAACACGAATAAACTATAACTTGATGTATTTTTGTAAACTTCAAAAAAATAAAATTTAAACATTAAACTTGATTTTTGGGTTAAAATGAACTCTAAGTGAGTGTTATGAAACTAAAATTTACACTTAAAAGTGAACTTATATTTATTATTTATTTCAAACTGACTTTAAAATCGGGCGCAAGAATAATGCATAATTTAGGTCTCGTTACTTATGCTTTTTTTATGATTAAATCCACTTTTCTCTTTGTAGTAATTTGTGCTTCGAAGTTGGAAACGAATAAAACTTAAATTGACAATTTTTTGTGGTATTTTTGCAATTTATAACACAGCATTTCCTAAATCCCATTTTCTTTAGTGACAGAAGGTGTAAATAAACAAACGAATATGAAATATGACAATTGACAATATGAATTTATGAAATCTATGAAATTTGCAGTAAAAAATGCAAGATTTCTCCGTTACTCGCGCACAATCGTTTCTCGTATCACATCCAAGTACTTGGACGTCGCCAATACCTTTTACAAAGGATTTTTAATAAATTTATTAAAAAATCATTTTGTCATTTTGTCTTATCGCGAATAATACAAAGTACATACCTGTTGTCTATCACTTTCACTAGGCTTATACTCCTCTTCTTCTTGATGAAAATCGGAAAAATCTACATCATTCAACGGCTCGGCCATCTTGAATGCTGTGTAGGCACGTCTGGAGGTTAACGAAAGTGACGTTCGTGTTTTGCAATTTTTTAATAGATGTCAACACGGGTTCTAAAGTTATTTGAAGTATAGGCATGTGTGGCTTTTGTTTAGAAAAATATTATATGCAGAGGTGCCCTGAACTTAAAAATTACAACTATGTTGGATAGGCACATCTGACTTTGAGCCACTCAGTTATTTCTTATGGTAGATCGCAAAACAGTTTTATTTTCGTGATAAGATAAAATAAACATTACATTTTTTACAACGTATTTTTGACCGACTGTGACTGTTTTCCATTCTAGATGCATTAGATTTTATCGAAAAGTGGAAAAATGGTTAGATCCATCATATCTGAGAGTGTTTAGCTGGTCGTCTGTATTTAGGAGCGGAATTTTGGTTCTCGTTTTTATTACTTTCTGTTTCTTCCTAATTTCTTTGTCGGTTAGGTGGTTCGTTAACAAGCCCTTCAGCTATTTGCATCCTGAACGCCAAAAGATCCATGATTTTGTTTTTAGAAACTGATTTAGGATTCAGATTCTAATCTATACAATCTCCAATAATTTGCTACTGCTAAATCGAAAAAATGAAGCATCACTTTAAGAGTTCATTTGGTGGTTTTCATAAAAGTTTTCTGTTTCGGAATATTTTATTTACCAAAATGTAATCTATTTGATTCCTAATAATTCTCCAGGGTCTGTCTGTCCCGGGAAATTATAAAAATATGTTAGTGACAATTCTGAGTCTTCTGCGAACTTTTCTAGGAGGTATCCTCTTTTAGTTCTGACTCCAAGTCCATGTGCTCCAATGTACTGTGTCTTATCTCCAGCTCCAATCTTAGTATTAAAATCGCCCACACTGATGAGAATTTCCTCTCGAGGAATTTTTTGTATGATACTGTTAATGTTCTGATATAACTCAATTTCCTCTTCATGCTTATATTTAAATATCAAGTTAGTTAAAATTGGCAAGTCTGAATAAGAAGGCAAAATAATAGTTCATTTGTCTATCAAAACTTTATGGTCTTGTTCATAAAAAGAAAATTTTGGTAGCTGTATTATATGAGATTGGTGTAAATTTGTGTCAATAAAAGATTATCTAACAGGAAGAGCTTTTTTGATTCTCCAGCAATAATTTGTTAAATTTTCTGTCAAAAGTAAACTTAATTTGTAAACTATAGTTGTACTAAATGGTATATATTTTATTAGACGTTTGTTGACTGTTTTCCTATGTATGTTTGTTGTTCTAATTAGGGCCTTTCGTTTAAAATAATATCTTCTTTATTATCTTATGTTTCGTTTATTTTTTTAAACAGAAAGAACTTTTTTGAAAACAAAAATTGTATAAAAGAATTGAAACTTATAGGCCACTAGTGATGTATTTTAAAATGTATTACCAAAAATTACAAAGGATCTCCAAGTACAACATTTGTTATATATGTTATATTTGTACATAATTTGTTATTGAAAGTTCCTACAACAAACCTCGTATTCTTTAGAAATCTCAGATGAATCTAATTCCATTTTAGAATGTTTGTTTTATATTCTGTGTTTTCTTTTTAAAACATCCAGATGGCATTTTCCTGAAGGTAATATGCTCCGTGATATATATTTTACGGTAGTTTACCGGGGTTAGCCTTACGATGTCTATTTTAGGACGCATCTAATGCAGAAAGTTTAAGATGCCGTTTTGGGAACATAAAAATATATATCATGTAAAGTAGCCACAACGTTTATATTACATATAGTTTCAGATGCTAGCTCTAATGGTCTGTAATAAAACTCTGGAAGACTTTCATTTATAGTAAATCCCTTGTTTTTATATAAAAATTTTTAACATTGTGATTGAAACCATGATTTTCTTGAAATAAATAATAATAATAATTTATTCATCCTAAAAGATCATTTTCATGATGAGAAGAAGTTTATTTATTCAAAAATAAGGAAAGCCCTAATACATACACAATTAATAAATTTATAACATTCATATATAAAATAAAAATAACAATTACACTTAAAATATAGTATCTACACTTATCAAAAAATATAAAACAATAATATATAACATAAAACATAACAACAAAATGACTACCTAACTATTGGTGCTTTTAATATGGTCCATTAATTTGCTTTTAAACATTTGTATTCGCTCCGTGCGTGACTGACGCGACACCTACCGTCTTCATCTGACAATTTTGGAGTCCCAATTTTCAGGTTAAACATATGATATATCTTTGACATTGTTAAATAAATGCGAAATTGACAATTATTAATAAATTAGTTTTTAACTATATTTTTTCAGTTTATGTACAAAATAAATGTAGTATTAAAAACTCGGTTTCTCAAAATTCATCATAATATATTTTTTCAACTCCAAACGGAAAAAAGGGAAAAATCTAGTACTGGCAAATCAAGTTTTTCACGCAAAAGACCATATAATTAAAAACAATAATAGTAAAAGTTATGATATAAAAGCTAAAGTCATATGCAGTTAGCTTGAAGCCTTATGAAATATCATTCAAGGTAAATTATTTAAATTTTTCCTATTTCAATTGCATAAAAATGAAATGTCATATTTACTTTTTCATATTAATAGCACGAATTCATCTTTTTCTTTTCTCTAATTTATATGTAATCTTTCGGAACCTATAAAAACTACGCTCACTGTTTTTGCTATTATTAACACAATTAAATACGCAACATGTATTTCCACACATTTTTGATAAAATTTATGCGTAAAAATATTTTGTCCAATATTCCAATTTTGTCATATTTCGCCGATACGCACGCTGGCATCGTTTCAATGTACCCCTACCATGGTCACGCACGGAGCGAATAAGTAGATGAACAACTTTAAAACCCACTGCAGCATGCTAAGCATTGTTGCTATATGTGTATATCTGTTTCCACCAAGAACAATTCTCGTTCCACGATTTTATAATTTTTGCAACTGGGCCGATAAAAATAACTGAGGAACAAAAATCGAAGTGAGGTTGAATAAATGCATTATTAAAACTGTAATTTTAATTGAAGTTGGCAAATTTTTAGATATTCTTGATGTAAGTCGAGTAAAAATATAAATGTTTGTAAAACATTACAATTTTTGAAATTAAAAGATAAAAAGTACATAAGAGTAATTATTTACATCACCCACATATTTACTTACACTGTAGAAACAATTTTGCAATAGAAAAGATTTTAGTTTACCTCGAAATTTATTTAAATTTGTTTCAAATTTAATACTGTTGTATTAAATTTGAAGATTGGGATGCCTACAGCTATAAGCTAACGCTATATAAAAGAAATTCGGAAACATACAAGGAATTCATAAAGAAAGTTTTGCGAAGAGATTACATATATTCCGGCTTGTTTTCGAATCATCCAAGCTAGAACATTTCTGAGTTCGCGGTACGTTAATTCGTTGGATAGATGATTTTCTGACAGATCGATATTACCAAGTTAGAGCTGGCGAATCTTTCTCACAGGACAGGTTAGTGGAAAGTGGAGTGCTTCAGGGTTCTGTTCTTGGACCTCTGCTTTTTACGGTTTACACCAGCGATGTTCCTTATTATGTCTCAAGTAAAATATCGTTCTACGCTGACGACACAAAAATATATGCCAATCCAATCACAAACCAGCTAACCCTCCAAATGGACTTAGACTCTATATTAACTTGGTGTTCCCAGTGGTTACTACCCTTAAACGAGGAAAAATGTGTAGTACTTCGAATTGGTAAAAATAACCCACTTGTGCCGTACTTTGTTAACGGACAGCCATTAGAATCTGTGTTTTCGTATAACGATCTAGGTGTTATTGTAAACAGCAGCCTAAGTTGGTTTGACCATATTACTTCTATTTGTAAACGTGCAAACTCCTTTTTTTTCTTCTATGTAATCGTTTTTCTTCTCTTCTTAGAGTCCGGTATTCTTCCTTTGCTCTTCTTGTACATCCAGCTTAATTTGTTTTTAGGTATGCCCTGTTTTTGTTATCTGTTGCTTCTTGGCACTCCTTGTCAAACCATTCGTTTTCTTTAACTGGTTTGTTTTTCCCCAAATTTTTGTTGCTTTCTCAGTTATTATGTTTTTACGTTTTGTCCACAGTTCCTCTACATTTTCCCCCACCTCCAGGCTCTCCATTTCTTCGTCCATTTGTCTCCCATACTCTCTCGCAACGATTTCAATGCGCAGATTATCAACAATAATTCTGTTTGTTTGTTTCGTGTGTTTATCCTTCTTTAGATTTGATATTCTGCTTATACGTGCCAAGGTAGGTAAAATATCAGACGTAACAACAAATTCATATAGACCAATAAGTATATTTTCATTTCTATTAAAAACGCTGGACATTAGGTACATTAGAGACAAAGTGCTAAAAGTTTACCAACCTGGTAAATCTACGGACTTTGCAATGGATGATCTAAATACGCTTATCTTAAAGTTATTGTAAGACAAAGATATAGCAATGGCCACTTTTGTAGATATAGAAGGGGCATTTAATAATGTTAGCACCAGCTCTTTGATGGAAGCTATGAGGCACACCTGCGGTAATATGCAGATGGATAAGAACATCCCTGGAGAATAGGACAGTAATGTCCACTCTGGGGTAAGCAACTATCAAAGCAAAAGTAGGTGGAGGCTGTCTACAAAGAGAAAATCCTCGAGTATTTTTGCTAGTTCCATTATGGTAGTACATTTTTCAATCGTAAAATGTCTCACCTGTAGAAACTCGGACAATTGGCTCCAAATAGAGCTTCTGGACCTCTGCGTGTTCAATGAGACTTTTTCGAAACCAATTTTTTTATTTCTTTACCTGACGCATCCAAATCTTGATTTTTCGTCTAGATTCATAATATCTGTCCAAAATTGATTAAGCACCAATGACTTAAGCACCAATGACGTTTGCCAAACTGACAACGATAGAATTACCCCACACCTTCGTGATGGATCTGTCATAAATTTGTCGCTGAGACATCACGGCCAGGAAGGAGTTTTGTTAGTAGGAAACGTGGCGTTGCTATGACATTTTATCAGTAAAAAATAGTCTAGTAAAATAGTCACAAGAATAGAGTTAATATCGAACAAAAAACTATGGACGTCTGAATTCACCAGCAAAAAAACTGTTCCTATTTAAAATATTTGGGTTGGGCTGCTGGAAGGGAGGAGGTTGACGCTTGATGAAAATCTATATCGTTAAAATATGACCCCTTTAGAATAAAAATCGACCTGTTTGAGTATTTTTTACAAAACTCAATGAATATCGCCAAATATCAAGGTAAATTCGTAAACGGATTTTATGGTTTTCGCAGGAAGATTTTATGACGAACTCCTATCAGACATAATATTTTTCCAAAAATCGCTTTATACATGAATCAACAATGCAAGATTCTACCGAATATTTATTATATCATTTAATAACATTCTAAAAAATATATTAAAAAATATTTTTCATACAAGTACCTAAAAGGTATAATATATTTTCATATTCCGTTCTCCCCATCGGCATGTTTGCCGTTACATCTGGTATAAACCTTTGATTGAATTTTTTAGCATATTTTTCTCAAGCAAACGATATTTAAATTCTAAATTCCGCGAATTTCTTTGTCGTTAATTTATTAAACGGACCCAGCAACGGAAAATCTTTGTTTTTAAGGAAATTGGGGATTTTTAAAACACATGCCTGGATTGGAAATAAGTTAAGAGGATTTTGATTGCGTTTTATAGGATGTAGAAAATTATTTTTACTATGTAAGATGCTTGGCGGCTATCCATTGTCTATTATACTACTTGACAAAATAAATATTTACTACACAAACTCCAACATGTAGTAGAAGTTTAACTTAGATCTAAAAAAGTGACATTCTCAGCGATTACTACTGCAGAATTTTCTCGAAATCAAAAATATATACTTTATAACAATTCTACTACATATGCTTTGAAAAATTGCACTATCATACATCAGGTGTCGTTGCAGTTACAGAAACAGTAACTTACCAACTTCAATTATCGTCTTTTCTCGTGAATTATTTGCATTCCTGGACTCATAGACATATTTTTTGTATTTTTAGTACCATACCTACTTCCTTTCTTGGCTGTTTCAGCGACCATCTTGCTAAATTATGATTCTATTGTCAATCAGTCTTTGTTTTTTTTTGTACATCCTCTAAATGCAAATTGTTCTGAGGATATCTCTGATCTTAAGAAGTCTTTTTGTGACCTAATGGAAGAAGTATCTAGTTCTCTTCTCGGTCACCTCCCTTAGTCGTATGTACTGGGCTTTTTCTTGGATGATTACATTTTAAACTCTGTCTTCATATGCATATCCCTCTATAAGTCTGTAGCATAACATTTCTGTCATTTTTAGGTGCTTCGAATTAGATTCTGCCGTCGAACTCCAAACTAACATTACAGACAACATAACAGTTCTAACTTCAGCTCTAACGTAGACCAGGACATCTTTGTTAAAACTGCAGTACCTTAAATAGGCGCCGCGTATAGTACGATCGATTGCACAACATAATGCAGGGCTTTCTCCTTTCAGTTTTGGGGTCTTGGATGTTGGTCATGATCTCCCCAACGTGATGGATCTTACTACAGCTCTTTGAGTCACTACCTTTTCGTGGTTCCTCCACCTTCAGTTTAAGAATCACCTCCAAATACCTCACACATTTCTTTAGAACCACTCTCTTTTCTGCACATTCAAATGATATCCCGTCTCTTTTCCTTGATCCTATGACCTAAGTCTTACCTGCAGCCAATTCTAGGCCATGTGTTTTCGTCCAGTCCTCGACTTGGTCGCATATGTGCGCTGCAACCGAAGACAAGTTCTTTCTCCCTGTCCTGCGCCACTACCTGCATAACAAATGCGGAAAGAGTTATACCCTGTCCGTACTGTTGGCTCACAATCTCGTCATATGCCAGGTTTCACAGCGTCGTTTCTAGGGCAGAACCCTGACCGACACTCTAGCCATCACGTCAATTACCACATATCTTTCTATCATAATTTTCCTGTCTGACAAGTATTCTAAGACCAAATTCATTCATAGTAAAAGTAAAGATGAGGATATATTGTTTAAACAAATACAACAGAGATACTTGCAGTATTTTGGACACATTGCTAGAAGAATAGATACTGATACGAGAAATTAAAGGAAAGATACCTAGGGGAAGATCTTTAAGCCGTTGGGTAGATCAATCAAAAGTTTGGAGATTTGCCCATTAATAATAATGAACGAAGACTTCTAATACGACTTATTAGCCATATATTGCGATATAGCGACTTGAATAGTTCTAAAGATACCTTTTCTCTGGTTTCAGCCACAAGTACCTCGTACGTACAATAAACATTATGAGCAGCACTGGCGTCTGCACCTTTTTTCTGGGCCTATGGGTTTTTACATTGTTGCAGGTAATCAATGATTGTAAAAAAATATCTTGTTCATTCTTAGTTTCTAGTGTTCTCAAATAAACGAATATCTCTTCAGCTTGATTGTGCAAGCGGTCTGTACACTTATGCTTCCATCTGAATTAAAAGAGTCTCGATAACCTTAGTTTATTACATAAATATAATTGGTACCATGCCAACATAGATTAATTGAACGGTATTTTAATACTAATATCGTAATATTTTATTATCGAGCTATACAGACTGCAAAACGTATCTTACCTGCAATCAGCGCCAACATTGATAGCTGGTACAACTCTACCTTTGTAATTAATATACTATAAATATTTTCCACTTAGTTTCTTCTTATTCTTCTATCGCTAGTAATGATTTGTTCTTCATCCACTACAATTTTTACAAATGCAATAAAATGGCGCTAAAACAACTTTAACCTCACAAAAACAATCAAAAGTGTGGTTATTTAATTCGGGATTCACAGAACACTATAATCTATGGTACAATACATAGAAGTTCATAGTGTTGCCTAGACAAACATTCCAAGCCACTGACATAGAATCATTTAGTTTACATATATTTCAGCTCCCTATTTAACATGCATAGAGAGACCAGACTTACAATGTTTTTGCACCAAAAGAGGCAATACTGTTCATAAAACAAATTTCCATCAAAATGTCACAAATGAAAAAAAAAAGGCTTAGAATGTTTTTTTTCCACTGATTCAACTGTAGTAAGTGATCCAAGAAAAAGAACATTTTAAAATCACACATTATACAAATACTCCATAAATATTTTGTCTTGAATAAATTCTACCACACAACTGTTATTTTTCTTCTACGCTACTTCATGTCGATATTTTCGCATTCATTATTCTTCTATCTGTCTATTTCAGCCAATAAATAAAATAACAAAAGTTATCATTCCTGCATCGGAATATCTATTTTCATACTTTAACAATAAGTAAACAAAAATAAAAAACAAAGGCAAATATTGAAACGGGCACATCTCATCTCCCGATCAACCTGTTTTTTACCTACAGCTAGAACTTGTTGAATATACTTTGTTTGTCAACAACACAAAGCAATTAAATTGCGATCTGAAACTAAAAAAAAAAGATTTACGAATCGATTTTCTTTTCTGACTCAACCAGCAAACAACTCTAATATTGCATTAATCAGCGTTTTCTACAAGGGGATTCATAAAATCTCGGTACAGATTGTCCATTAGAAAATATTTGGACTAATAATTTTAATATCTAACAATAAATAGGGTGTTAAAATTATAAAAAAATCAGGAACTCCATTTCTGTTATTGTGTGTCATACAATAAAGCAATCGTCTTCTTTCATTTCAACAAATGTATTTGCCAGCTTACTTCTGTCTGTTCTAAAGGTTTATGCAAGGTACAGCATCTCAGTCCACTGACAAACATCTTCTGTATTGTTCCACTCTTCTTGCCATGCTTCTATTGATCTTTCCCTTTCTTACTTTTTTATGACTGTAATCAAATGCTCTCTTCTCTCATAGATATGTCTCCTCTTTACTGCAAACACATGCAGAGGAACGCAACGCGTGTTAGTTTACAAAGTCGCCACAAATATAGTCCTGTACGTGCATGCTACTTACACAAGAGTCGTTTTGTCCACTCGTATCATGATCCCCTTGTAGGTTGGTATCTCTACCGCCCCACTCCTAATTGGTACCGCGTAAAGAATGATTGACTTTACAATACCGTGTAGAGTTCTCTCTGTTCTAAATTAAGGACTTTAATGTTGAAAAGTATCAGCCTTCTCAGCGCAGCCCCTCTCTTCGCTGACTTCGGGGCTACCTCCCTTATCCATTATATTGGCGTAGCGCTACTTGTAGACATTAATGCATTTCTTTGATGATAGCAATAGCTGAGTCCCTGCACAGTCAAGTTTTATCCCTTGTCTTTTCTATTTATCCTATACAATTATATCTTTGGTCTTCTCTGCTGCGAGTTCCAGTCCGTCTTTGATTCAGTCTTTCAAGATGTAGTCCATATGTCTTACCCGAAATCGGAGATCTAACTCGTCCCGTACTTCTACTAACATAGTGAGGTTATCGGCAAATGCGAAGGGGGTTATACCTTCTCCCTATTCGCTGTTTATGGTCTCATCATAAGTGAGGTTCCATAGCGTCGAATCCAAGAACGATATCTATGGGACTCCATTCGTTATGTTAACGAGCGTGCCCTTCTTAACCATGTGCCCTTCTTCGCCATTATATTCATCAGGTAGCTAGAACACTACCTCTTGTCCAACGTTCGCATTGCTTTTTTCCTTGCAGAGTGTTTGATGTAATTCTAACATCAAGTAGCAGCAGAATGTCCAGCACTCTTTATGCCCAATGTTGTGTAATGCTTCGATTACACGCAAAATTGCATCAATTCTGCATTCGTTCTCGCAGTATGCTCTTATACAACTTTCTGATGCACGGGAGGAGGCATATGGAGCGATACACTTTCCCAGTTTTGTAAAGCAGTATCAAGCTTGATATCCTTCAAGCTTCAAGAAATTTCTGTGCTTCAAGCAATGTATTTATGTGTTCCAAAAGTCACCCAGGCTAGGCGAGGTCTAGACCCTTTACAGCTTAGGGCGGTATCTAGTCTAGCCTGTGGGACATACGGATCTTAATTGCATCCAACGCCTGGACCAATTCAACTATTGTAAAGAATTCAGCCCTCTTAGCCACACTCGTCGCTTCACACTCCATGCCATCTGCCGGACGAAAAAACTCTCGTGTTACCTTAAGCTTTTTGTTTTAAGCTTTATTTATTTATTATTTGATTCAGATTGAGCCATACGGCTCAAATTACCCCTAAGGGAAAATTCACTTATCCCAGATACCTACGGTATCAAAAGGATTGAGCTCTGTTGGGACTCTTTCCGTGTTATCGAGCCCTAGGTGACTTGGTATGATGGAGTATCTCCCAAAAATTTTCGTACACATCTGGAGGTTGAGAGCACTACAGCTTTCTGCATGGTCTTGTAGAGATATTTAGTAAGTTCCTAAATAAGTAATCTGTTTTTCTAATTGCTCGCTTATATCCATAAGTCCTCGTCCTCCTGAATACCGCGGTAATGTCGTTCTTTCTGCTGCACTTCGAGGATGGTGTTTTTTTTCCTTTGTGAAATGTGTTCGTACTTTTCACTGAAGAGTTTCTACATCCGTTTTAGTTCATTTAATAATCCCAAATGAGTAGCTAAGCGCGGAAAATGTGTAGGTGTTTAATGCCTTAAACAAATTTTTACTATTAAGATGTGAGCGGAGTAGGTGTTTTCTTCGTATGAACTCTGATGTTAATTTAAATTTTATTTGTTTATGGCCAACTTTCCGCGCTAACTTTACTCCTAGATATTTATACTAGTATGGCATTTTCGCCCATAGCCTCGATGTTTTGACCATTTTGCATATCGAATCCTCCGGTTAAACCTTTCCCTTGACTATATTTAGTAAACGGCACTTGTCTAACCCAAAGTGCATACTGATATAATTTGAAAAAGTTTCTACAGTTTTTAGCATTTGATCTAAGTAATTTCGAGTGAAGCCATTAGTTTCAATCAGACATTTACAACAGATGATTAAGCTTCGCCACTACAGTGTTGTTGCTTTAATGCCTTAAACAAATTTTTACTATAAGATGTGAGCGGAGTAGGTGTTTTCTTCGTATGAACTCTGATGTT